GACAACACACCCACACAAAACCTATGAGGGATGCTTGTCACAACACCACTCTGAAGAACCAACAGGTGGAAAGAAACCAAATGTCTATTGATAATGAGAAAATCGATGGACGCTCACGTGGAATATTGACATAAAAATGAAGTTCTGATACAGGCTGCAATACAGATCGATTCTGAAAACACTGTGCCAAATGAAGCACGCCAGTCACAAAAGACCACATGACTCCATTTATATAAATATTTAGAATAAGCTAATCTATAGAAACACAAAGTAGGTTAGTGATGACTTTGAGCTGAGACAGAGAGATAGAAATACTCTAAAATAAGATTGTGGCGAATTTACTAAAGACCAGAGCTGTACGCTTTAAATGGATGAGTTACACAATTATACAAATGCAAATTATATCCCAATGTAACTGTTGCCAAAAAACAGTTCAGTACCACGTTGTCTCTAAAACCACGTCAATGAATTTTTCATACTGTTACAATAAAATCCATGAGTCTATCTTGTTCTTTGAACAGATCTTATGCAGATCATCCAAATGTTGACACATTTTATTATATCAAAAAACCACATTTGTTAATATCACCAATGATCTAATAGAAAAACCTGTCAAGTGTTGGGAAGTTATCAAGCTCAGGGTAGCAGATAGCACATTTCCCAAAATTCTAATTTTCACCTCCAAGCTTGAATGTTATCTTTGGCAACAAATGATGTCAGATGCTTCCTGTGAAGGAACAGGCTCGTTTCATTAGTTTTCATCTACCCAGTATCCAAATCTGGATAACTATGGCTCGTTCTTTCAGGTAGAAATGGTGCTCCATGAAAACAGTAGTGAGCCACTAGTTCAGCTTGCAACTAAGCTGTCCAGAGCTCTTCTTCAAGGCAGGCACCACATTCTAGCAGAATGGTGCTTGGAACGCCTCTTTCCCATCTCCTTGTACACAGAAGATGGGTGCTCAAGGGTCAAGGGTTAGCAAACTTAAGTCATTTTTACCGCAAATACGCTACTGAAGAATGCAAGCTACTAGCTGGGCGTGGTGGTGGCTCACGCCTGTAATCCCAGCACTCGGGAGGCTGAAGTGGGAGGATTGTTGTAAGTTCAAGACCAGCCTGGGCTACAAAGTGAGCTCAAGGCCAGCCTGAACTGCATAAAATGAGACCCCGTCTCAAAAAAGAAAAAAAAGAATGCAAGCTACTAGCATCATCAGATGCCACTGACTTGATTCTAGTTTTACTCACCATTTCTTTTGCAACATGAATGAAAGTATCAACACATGAAAAACAAACCAAGAAAACAAATAAGATGTTAAGAATACTGTGAAAGCCATTCTGATCATCCCAGAGCCCCTGAAAAGGTCTGTGGACCCCCCAAGGTCTGTACACCACAATGGAAACTCATGGGGTAAGTCGTGGTGACAAACCTACGGCATGTGTGCCACGGCGGACTATCTGCATCACTGAAAACTCTGAAAGGTTCACTGTCCTAAGAAACTAAACCTCAGGAGCTTAAAAGGACAGATTCCTACCTGCTCATGGTACCAGTCTAAAACAGGTGAGCCTACAGTTCTGCTCATTCTTATCTCTCAGGCTGCCGGAGGCCCCATCTCAACAGGAAGGCAGGGCAGGGGAACAGGTACTGCCCAAAGCCTGAAAGTGACCTCTTACCGTGAGCCAAAGCCAAAGGTCACATCTACTTGAAAAGGGGGTGGGGAATCATCCCACCTGCATCCAGGGAGGGTGACCACGGCTGAGAGCATCTCTATTGATTCCCACAGGAGGCCAGGAAAGGACACAAATGTGTGCGTGGCTCAGGGGACAACACACACCAATGACCTGAAGCATGCAGTTTGGCTCAAACCCCTGAGTGTCACTGGACAGGAATGCAGACCGCATGCTAACAAATCCCTTGGTTTTTTAGCAGAAGCAAGGTGATTTATTTGAAATCACATACATTTTTAATTCCACCTCTGAAAATCACTGTGCAAACACGGCAGGCTCACTGTTTCATCTCTGCCACAATGTTATGAATTAAAAACATGAGCTTTAAAATCAGGAACACCTGCAGCAGACTCCAACCTGCACCTTCAGAAGAGAATGAAATCACTAACCAAGGAATTCCTAGAAAAGCAAAAGGAAAGAAAAGAAAGCCACAAGAGTAAAACAGCCAAAAGGACATACAGCGAAACAGGGAGGACAGCCAAACCGTCCTCCATCGGTATCTTTTTCACTTTACCAGCAGTTAGGGAAATGTAAGGCAAATAAATTCATACAAACCAAGATTTAAAACATGAAAAAAGAAATGGGCAAAAGAGAGAAGCTGGTCATTTCTAGAAAAGGTAATCCAAATGGGCTGAAGTATATGAAAATACCTTCCACATAGTGGCACGTGCTTGTAATCCCAACACGCAGGAGGCTTAAAAGTTTAAGAGTAGGGTGCTGGGGATTTAGCTCAGCAGCGTAAGCGCCTGCCTTGCAAGCAGGCAGTCGTGAGTTCGATCCCTGGTACCAATAAAAAGGAAAAAGACAAAAAAAAAAAAAAAAAAAAAAAGTTTAAGACCAGCCTGTACTCACAGCAAGATCCTACAGCAGAAAAAGCGCAAGTTCTACATGGGAATACACCAATTAAAACACAAGTCCCTTCTCCAAACATCAAACTGCAAGAGCAGACAGGCTGACAACACGCTATTAAAGGTGTGGGGAAAGAAACACACTCTTTCATTTCTGTTAGAGCAGCAAAGTGGCTACTGAGACTTCTGAGACCTACGTTCCCTGGGGAGGACGAGGTGGACGGGCACACACTATGTGGCCAGGCCAGCTTCAGCAGCCACGCACTGCTGGGAACTGAACAGTTTCCCTAAACACCCATACGGTAAAGCCACAGACCATAACTTTTGTGAAAACTTGTCATAAAAAAATGACGACACCATGCTGGAGTACTTAAAAAGCAGTATAATCTCAGAGCAGACAGCATCACACTAAGTCTTGAAGAGTTAGCAAGAGTGTGTGCTAGACTAAGAAAAAAGCAAAAATCATCCCAATTAGAAGACTTATTTGTTTGTTCAACTAATATTTTCATTTCCATGAAGAGCTGGGCAGTATTTCAAGGGCTGGGGACAAGACACACAAGGTCCCTTTTCTCATGGAAGTTAAATTCAAAAACAGTGAGGAGAAACAAACAAATGAACAAGAAACATTCATTTAGTGATTCCTTCACAAGGAAAATAAACTAAGTGTACACTAGTTACTAAGTATGGCCTAACTCACCAGGTACAGTCAGCCCGAACTGAAACCACAAAAAAGATTAAATCACACCGAGATTCTAGAGCAAAATCTGGAGCTTTATCTGAGTATAACAGGAAGCCAAAGAATTGAAAAGGGTGCAGTTCTGTGACAGGAGCTTTATAAAGATGACCTGGCTAAAGAATAGACAGGAAAGCAAAGGAAGCGAGACTTGCTGGGTTACTGCAGTGGTTCAGGCACAAGATGACACTGCCTTTGCCTAGGATGGCAGCATGACAATCAGGACACGGGGGCAGAGTCAGGATACACTGCAGAGGCAGAGCCAGCGTTGTAGCTGTAGGGGATGTCAGAAAGGAAAGAAAGACACACTGGCAGCTTGACTACCTGGGGAACACTAATGCCCCGTGTGAGCGTGGGAAGACGAGGGGGGAGCAAGCACCAGCAGAGAAGAATCAACAGTTCTGACTGCTCCAAGCACAGGAAACCTACAACACACTCAAAAGGAGATACCAAGTGGAAAGAACCAGGGGCTGGGGACAGGGAAAGGCGAGCTATGGTGTCTCACAAGCTGAACAGTTATAGGGATGGATGATGATGATGGTTGTGCAACATTAGAAACACATTTACTACCTCTGAGTGGTACACTTTAAGTAAAATTTAAGAGTATTTAATGGCAAAAATTTGAAAGGAGAGGGGGAAAAGAAAAAGATGTCAAGTAGGCGATCTGATAAGAGAATTTGGGGTTTTCTGCAGAGGTTCAGGCTGAAGTACCCTGGGAAATCAACACCATACAGCTGTTAAACAGTGCTAGAATCACCCAAGCCAGGTGTCAGGTAAAAAGGAAGATGATACAGAGAGGGCGCCAGACTTGGGGAAGGATCTGGGGAAACAGAAAACTGACTAAGGGACTAGGGATTTAGCTCAGCGGCATAAGCGCCTGCCTTGCAAGTGTGTGGTCATGAGTTCGATCCCTGGTACCGATAAAAAGAAAAAGACAAAAAAAAAAAAAAAGATACAGAAAACTGACTTGCTCTTTCCACACATCCTGGCCAACAAAAGAAACTCAGAATCCTCTGTGTTTGTCTAAGGTTGGAGGTCAGGGGATATAATGCCTTTCACTTACCATTCATATATTTTATTTGTGAACTTGATCCCTGAAGAGTGCAAAAGCAGAGTGAGGCTCTTAATAACTACCTCAGGACGACTGCATCATTACCGAAGCAGTTTCTGCCTGGTACATTCTAGGGAGTTCGGTCTAAAAACCTCAAAGCCATCTTAGGACACGCGATCTCAGCACTCTGGGAGGCTGAGGCAGGAGGATCGCAAGTTTGAGCCCAACCTGAACAACTTTGCCACTCAGGGCCTTGGTAAGACCTTGACGGGCTGAACACAGAGCCGCCTCCACCCAATTAAACGGAGCGCGACCAGGGCCCCTACACCTCTCCCAGTGTTCTGAGTGTACCTGTCTAACGCGCGGGTGCCACTTCTCGTTGGACCGCGGCGATGAAGAACCCAGAAGAGCCACGCCCCCTGCTAGCCCAGACGGGAAGGATGCGGAGGTGCTCATAGGAAACGGCCTCAGCAGGATCGCCGGTCTCAAGGTGTTCGAATCCCGGCTCTGTCCTGACCCTGCAGCCCCAGTGCCCCGGGCATCAGCTCCTCTCCCGACCCCAAGAGGCACGGACGACGTGCGGCACAGGCCAGGAGGCCAGGGGACCGGGACAGACCCGGCTCGGCGGGCGGCAGCGACCACTGACCTGCTTGAAGGTGCTGCTGAGGAAGTAGACCAGCGACAGCCCGAAGACCAGGGCGAGCACCCACCTCTTCCTCAGAAGCCGGCGCCACAGCAGGGCCGCCAGGTTCACCATCCCGGCGCGCAGGCGGGGCGTGGCGGCCGGGGCGAGAAGCTGGAAAGACCCGGGGACCCGGTGGCATGGCTCCTACACGACAGACGACCCCATCCCTGGCGCCGGGCCGGCCTCCGTGGCCTTGCAAGCTCCCGGCAGCCGGCGCGCGTCGCCCCACGTGACCCCGCCCCACGGCCCGCCTCCGCCTGTGCGTCACCGGCAAAACCCTTTGGACGTCCCTTCGCCATTGGTCGTGGCGGATTGGCGGAATCCTATTGGCTAAACCTAGACAAAAGGGGCGGTTCATATTGTGCACGTGGCTGGCCTGGGCGTACACTGGTCCTAGCGCCCCGCCCATTGGATCTATGCTCAAACCCCGCTAGAGGCCGGAAGCACTCGGAAGTCACGTGCTGCTCAAGTCGCCACAGTGATTGGCTCAGCTAGAGGTAAATGATGCGGCCGTGATTGATGAATTTTTCTTCACCCCGGCCTGGTCTTTGTAGACTCCTGGCCTTGCAGTGCGTTCTGCGGTGTAGTTTGAGTGTATGAATGAGAAGCGCGCTAGTGACTTTGTATCCTCCGTGCACCTGCTTGCTTTCAGTGCGGGCAATGCAGGAGACGCTGCTTTGCAAGCTTCTCGGTGCAGACCTTTAATGGCCAGGGGGCACAACTGAAAATATGGCAAGCATCGAAAAGTCTCGCTGCGGATCTTCATAGAGAGACAGTAGGATGTATATGACAGAAGACTGAAAGGCTTCTCAGCTAGTTATTCAGATGCATCCTGCGTTCGAAACTGTGTTCTAAGATTCACTATTGGAATAGTTTTGCACGGCCTGTTTCCGACGAGGGATGTGAGGTCCCTTCAAAAGCAAGCATCTGAAAATACAGTCTTGGGCGTTTGATGGTGTATCAGACTTGTGGATGGTAACTTTGTGATACTGTGTTTTATTTTTCCCAAAGTTTTGGCATTGATGGGTGATGTTGGTAGGGGAGGGTTATTAAAGCAAGATTGCAAGTTTATAGAATGAACTGTCCTGTATCCTCTATAAATGAAGATGGTGCTGCTGACTCCTCTCTTAGCTACTTTTCCAAAAGGAAGAGGTGGCTGCGTTGTTGGAAGTGGCCCTGGTCGGGGTTAGGAAGCCACTAGGCATCCAGTTACAGGACCTCAGCTAAAAGTTAGATACCTGTTTGTGGTCCTGGTACAAGGAAGTATTCCAAGAGGCTAAGCTATCCATGGAAAGTATATGGTCTTTATTTCTTCCCAATATGAAAGATGGGGCAGAGAACAAGGGATCTCAAAAAAAAAGAAAGAAAGAAAGAAAGAAAAAAAACCAGCTGGGAGACCCATGGTTTTCTTCATTGAATAATACTTGAATTCTATCTTTGTCAGGCAGATGCAGAGATAGAGGAGCAAAGGAGGTAAACAGGATCTCTGTTATTGTAGCATTTACGAGGTAAATTGTAGCATTTACGTAAGTGGGAGGGCAAATCACAAGTAAATATACATGTAAATAACTAATAAGTGTTGGGTAGAAAATGAAACAGGCCAATGTTTCCCAGGAAGGTGGGAAAAGAATGCTTCTGGGAGAAGGTGGCGTTTGACCTGAGGGAGCCAACTTCAGGAGGAAAAGCATTCCAGAAAGAGAACAGCAAGTACAAAGGTCCTGAGCCAAGGGCAAGTTGACATGTTGGAGGAGCAGTCACCCCAGTGAAAGGAGGGGCATCATACAAGGAGAGCGAAAGGAAACAAAGCTGGAAAACAGGTGAGAATGCTTTTAGGCATTGGACAGAACTTGGGTATTCTGGTTACAGTGGGAAACCATTGAGGGATCTAAACATTTTCTGTATTACCCAATAAGGCCTCATAATTTGACATAAGACAAAATATGTTAGAACTAAAATCAAAGAACCTCAAAGAGGGAGACCACTCCCCTCCAGGGCTACCCAGAGATCTTGAGCAGATGGAGCAGATGGGGACCAGCGATGTCCCAAGACTTTGCAGATTTGCAGTATCCCATAGACCGATTACCCAAGTGTTCTGTGCTGTCTAGGGCTTGGGGACTCTGGCAAGCTCCCTGACCTGGGCATCTCTCTGGTGAGGAGAAGAGGGCAGGCCTGCTGTCCTGGAGATCCTGTGGTCACCTCATCAGGAACCCTGAGTGCCCACTTCAGGTGTCATCAGCATGGGGTTCTGAAGTCCATGTGGCTCCTTGCTGCGAACCAGGTGAAGTATTTCCAGGAGAATTCATACTCCCAATTAATTAACTTTTTTCCAGTACTAGGGGTTGAAGCCAAGGCCTCTGCATGTTAAGCAAACACTCTATCACTGAACTACATGCCCAGCCCTTCCATTTTGAGACAGAATCTCACTCAACTATACGGGCTGTCCTCCAACTTGCAGTCCTCCTGCTGCAGCTTCCTGAGTAGCTGAAATTACCTCACTTGGATTCACACCTTCATTACCACTTTATTAAATGTGAGAAATAAAAGGAGGCTCTGGGTTTGACCGCTCTGCCCCCTCCCATGGGACATGTAGGGTCTGAAGCAGTACTTGTTTACGGTCACCATAGCAATGTGACAGACAGTGAGTGTTGGGAGACTTACTGAAGCATGTGTTGGCTTTCAGGTGTTAAAGAAAATGCAGAGGCGTCACAGCAGCAACACGGACACCATTCCACCTGAAAGGTAGGCACCCCCAGCTTCGTTCTCCACCTGAAAGGTAGGCACCCCCAGCTTCCTTCTCCACCTGAAAGGTAGGCACCCCCAGCTTCCTTCTCCACCTGAAAGGTAGGCACCACAGCTTCGTTCTCCACCTGAAACGTAGGCACCCCCAGCTCCGTTCTCCCCCTGAAAGGTAGGCACCCCCAGCTCCGTTCTCCCCCTGAAAGGTAGGCACCCCCAGCTTCGTTCTCCCCCTGAAAGGTGGGCACCCCCAGCTTCGTTCTCCCCCTGAAAGGTGGGCACCCCCAGCTTCGTTCTCCCCCTGAAAGGTAGGCACCCCCAGCTTCGTTCTCCCCCTGAAAGGTAGGCACCCCCAGCTTCCTTCTCCCCCTGAAAGGTAGGCACCCCCAGCTTCGTTCTCCCCCTGAAAGGTAGGCACCCCCAGCTTCGTTCTCCACCTGAAAGGTAGGCACCCCCAGCTTCGTTCTCCACCTGAAAGGTAGGCACCCCCAGCTTCGTTCTCCCCCTGAAAGGTAGGCACCCCCAGCTTCCTTCTCCCCCTGAAAGGTAGGCACCCCCAGCTTCGTTCTCCCCCTGAAAGGTAGGCACCCCCAGCTTCGTTCTCCCCCTGAAAGGTAGGCACCCCCAGCTTCGTTCTCCACCTGAAAGGTAGGCACCCCCAGCTTCCTTCTCCCCCTGAAAGGTAGGCACCCCCAGCTTCCTTCTCCCCCTGAAAGGTAGGCACCCCCAGCTTCGTTCTCCCCCTGAAAGGTAGGCACCCCCAGCTTCGTTCTCCCCCTGAAAGGTAGGCACCCCCAGCTTCGTTCTCCCCCTGAAAGGTAGGCACCCCCAGCTTCCTTCTCCCCCTGAAAGGTAGGCACCCCCAGCTTCGTTCTCCCCCTGAAAGGTAGGCACCCCCAGCTTCCTTCTCCACCTGAAAGGTAGGCATCCCCAGCTTCGTTCTCCACCTGAAAGGTAGGCATCCCCAGCTCCGTTCCATCTGGGGGCTCAGGACTTCGGGTGGTGAAAGGTAACCAAAACAGATAGAATGAAACCTGCTTCTTAGAAATAGTTGTTAGGACTGCAAAGGAGGTCAGATGGCAAACCGCTGTGCACAGTGTTTTAGTCAGCTGTGCGCTCCTGCAACAAAATACCCAAGACAGCTAACTTTATGAACAGTTACCCGGGCTTCTGGTGTTAGAGGCTGAGTCCAGTTGGCACTGTATAGGTGCAGTGGCTGCCCTTTAGCCCTATCACCTTGTAGAATAGGTGGCAGTGCAGGCTACAGGTGTGGGAACCAAGGGACTACATCTGGGAACTGGACCCAAGACAGGGAGAGGGGCTGGGTTCTCACAGTCTCATCTGGGAACACACCACCAAGGGCCCAGGACCTCCCAGGAAACTCCACCTCTTAAAGGTCCACAGCACCTCCCAACACCACCACCCCAGGACCAAGACTTTACACATGGATCTTTGCAGGGGAAGGTCTCTCAAGTTACACCTGAGCCTTAGCACACAGTGACAGCCTTTTTTACTAAATTCTCAAAGCAGAATAGCCTGGTGTTGCTTCTGAGGTGATTTTCAATCCCTCCGTGATCAGTGATCTACTTGGCTCATTGTATCCATAACTGTACTCTAGGATTTTAACTTATAGGGATGTCTTAGTCAGTTCAGGCAGCTATAAGAAAAATGCAACGGTCAACATGGTTTAAACAATGAGCATTTATTTCTGACAGTTCTGGAAGCTTGGCAGTCCAAGATCAAGGCATTGGCAGATTCAGTGTCTGGTGAGAGCTGGTTTCCTGGTTGACAAGTGTCCATTCCTTTGCTGTGTGCACATGGTAGAAGGGTAGGGATTTCTCTGTGGCCTTTTTGTTACAAGGGTGCAAATCCCATTGCTGAGGACCCCACCCTCAAGACCTAAGGATCTCCCAAAGCTCCTGTCTCCCAATACCGTAACACTGGCAGTTAGGACTTCCACATAAGAATCAGTTGGTGAAACAAATATTCCATTCAGAACCCTGAGGAAATAACACACAGAGGCCAATGACATTGATTACATATCCTGAGAGGAGGGCCACCGCACACAGCACAGGGCCACATAGGGAAGAACCAGTGTTGGCTCACGGCGAACTAGAGGGAAGAGAGAGCATTGATTGTACTCTTTGCGGGAAAAAACAAGCAGGGGAGGAAAACTGAGTATGATACACTACTTTGAATAATGGCTCTGGGGTATAAAAATGATCTCTAGTTGTTTAATATCTAGTCCTGGGTGATTTAGGACAGAGGAGATTATTTTAATCACCTTCTCGTTACTGGGACAAAATTCCCAACACCCACAACCTGAAGGAGAAGAAGTTTATTTTTGCTCCATGGTCAACTGGCTCCAAGGCAGAAGCAGCCTGGGACAAGGGTCTAGTGGAGAAAAGGCAGTCAGGAAACAGAGCAGGAGAGGAGGAGCAGGGAAGAAAGACGAACCCTCCCAGATCACACCCCCAGCAACTCACCATCAGACCTCCGCCCTCCACAGCAAGCCAGCTAGAGTTTCCCTTAATGCAATCATCATCCAAACACATGAGGGTTTGGGGGGCACCTCAGATCCACACCATAACTTTTATCCCTGACCCCAAAAGACTCAAGTGCATCTTTTTATGCAGAATCCACTTAGTCCATCTCTGGGAATCACCAAAGTTCTAACAGGTCTAGCACTGCTGAAAGTTCAAATACAAACTCATCTCTGAGCCTCAAGGCAATCGTAGCTGTGAGCCCCTGTAAAAATTAAAAAGTAAGTTAAATATCATTAACTACAATGACATAGGGTAAATACTCCCATATTCCAAAAGAAAAAAGTAGGAGAAAGGAAAAGAATTGGATCAAAAAAGACCAAGTCACAGTAGGACAAACATTAAATCCTGTAGCTGCATATCCAGGACTCAGGGACAGGTTGTGGTGAGACGTCAGTCCCTAAGGATTTGGGTGGCCCCACCCGAAAGCATTGCTGGTTGCAGCTCTCCTGGCTTCTCTCTTGGGATGATGCTGCTCACTGCCTGCAGCTTTCCTCAGCAGACATTTCAGATTCCCGGCATCTCCAATTTTCTGGCGTCTCCTCCACACTCTGAGCTTCACTCTCACAGCGTCATACGCTGCTCTCCCAGGCACATCCCAGGCCTTCTGAAATATGGGTGGAAGCCTCCCTGACCCTACAACTCCTGCATTCTGCATACCTGTAAAGACTTAACACATGGTTGTCACTAAGGTCCCCTGCCAGCCTGAGTAGTAGCCAGAATCATGGCTACAGCTTGGATAGGTCCCTTTGATGATGGCTGCAGAGGCCTCTGAGGACCTGGATGGCTGAGCACTATGAACTGAATCCAGGGAAACCCGTTCCCTACGTGGCCCTTCTCAAGCAGGCTGTCCTTGGGCTCTCTTCTCAAAGCAAAGTGTTTCAGAGTTTATCTTTTTATACCCTTGAGCCAGTGAAAAATGGAGTATTGCTGATTCCTGGAACGCCCTCAAAGTATTCTTCCTGTTCTTTTGCAGCTTGTAAAGTACTTGGCTGCTTTTTAATGCTGCTGTTTTCACCAACCAAGCTTTCCGCGGTCCCTACTTCACAAGGGCTTTCTTTTTGGTGAAACTCAAAACTTTTCAAATCATTCAGCTGTGCTGCTTGCTCTTTATTCTCGATGTCGATCTGACTAAAAGCAGCCGGCAGTACCCACACGACAGCCTAAATATTCGGCTGTGCTGAAATTTCCTGCACCAGATAAATTAGTCTGGCCAATCTCAGTGTCCCACAAAGTCCCAGGACATGGACAAAATACAGACAAATTTCTGCCAAAGCACAACACACGTGACTTCTGGCTCAACTAGTGAAGTCCTTGATCCCAGCTGAAACCTCCTGATTCTGTTCTTTATCATCTGTGTTTCTTTTAGCATTCTCATCTTCTGAGCTCTGACTGGAAGCTCCCATCAAACTTGACTTACAGCGTACTAGAGTTTCCATAGCCAGCACTTACAAATCTTTCTGCACTCTTCCTGAAAATCGATTCTGAAGTATTCAGAACCACATGATCACAGCAATAGCCCCACTTCTTTGGTACCAAGATCTGTCTTAGTGACTTTCTTATCAATGGGACAAAATACTCAATCCCCACAATTTAAAGGAAGAAAGGTTTATTTGGGCCCACAGTTTTTGGAATATTCAGTCATAGCTGTCTGGCTCCACGGCAGGAAGAGCATGGTAGAAGGGTCTTGGAAAGCTGTACGTGTCATGGTGACCAGAAAGGGAGGAGCCAAGGAGGAAGACACACCTTTCTAGGTCATCCCTGAGTGATCTCCTTCTAACAAGGCCCTGCTCTTACTGCACATTTAACTGCTGAACTCATTAGTGGATAAATCATGATCCAATCACATTTCAAAAACCACCTCTGATCATATGAGGCTGGAGGTGGGGTGGGGGCTCATTCTCAGTCTAAACCATGGCAGAGATATTGCCTGCATGTGTAAGAGTTAGATAAGAGGGGATGGGAGAGTGAGCCCTGGATTACAGAAGAGGTGTAAACCATTTTGGTCATGTGTTAGGCCTTGTGATAAAATAGATGTCAGATAGATAAATATAATGTCTAAAGCAAACACAGTTCAAATTTATGTCTTAAACTCAAGAGAGTATACACCCCAGGGTATTCTCAGATTTTGACAGTCTCCAGCCCTCGAAGCTCTGTGCCAGCCCATGCATCCAGGGAATAGGCAGCCAAGCCTTTACTCCCTCATCTCCTATCGCAGGTTTCTTGTGTCCCTGCATCCCTGTACCACTAGTCCAGACCAGCCTTGGGACCAAGGTTGGTATCAAGCCTCCCTGTTCTGCAGGGAAGTTCATGGGTGATAAGCAAGATGAGCCCTGGTCCAAATCTCAACCTCCTCGCACCTGCCATGGTTTAGGTTTCTGTGTCTCCCAGAATTTGTGTTGGAAATCTCATTCCAAAGCCAGCAAAGATGACATTTGAAGGTGAGGCCTTTGGGGGTTAGTGAGATCAGATAAAATCTTCATGGTGGGACCCACTGTTGTGGCATTGTAAGAAGTGGCCCTGTAAGAGGAGGAAAGGAGACCTGACTTGCTAGGACTCACCATGGGAAGCCCCCTGCCATGTCATGACACAGCATGTGCCCTCACCACATGCAGTGCCATGCCTTTGGACTTTCTGTCCTCCAGAACTGTGAGCCAAATAAACTTTATTTATAAATTTCCCAGTCTTGGGTATTTTGTTATAGAACATAAAACTGACTTAAGATACTACCACTGGAGGGCTGGGGATTTAGCTCAGTGGCATAAGCGCCTGCCTTGCAAGCGCACAGTTGTGAGTTTGATCCCTGGTACCGATAAAAAAAAACAAAAAACAAAAAACAAAAAACCACCAGTGGTACTTTAGGCAGGTGATTCCACTCCCTAGGTCCCTTTTCTCCATCCACAGATGACAGATGATAAAACTCACAGTTACTTAATGAAGGAATAGGTGTATAAGGCACAGACTCACCATCTGGCTTGGGCAGAGTGTGCCTGTGGGAGTTTCCCAGTCTCTGCCCTTGTGTGAACCATGAGAGCTTTGAAGGCAGAAACCATGGCACAGACATAACGACTGCCATGTATACAGGTGTACCATGCACTGCCCTCAAGTGAGCCGATGAGGCCAGGGCTACATTTTACAGATGAGTAAGCTGAGATTGAGAGAGAGGAAGTCGATTACCTGAAGTCACATATCCAGGAAGTAGCAGAGCTGAGACTGAGGCCTCGATCCGTTTGCCCTCCAAGATCTGTGCTTCTGAGACACTGGATTTTGGCTGCCTCGTACCTGGGTGGATCCGCTTCTGCTCCAGGGCTGCCTCAGCTCTAGCCCTTAAGTCATTAAGTTGGAAGCACAGCCTCTGTTTCCCACAGGGAATATTCTTTCCATTTTAGGCTGAAATCCCGGCTGGAGGCAGATAGGAGAGAGACCCAGGGAGAGAGGCCAGCTATAAAAAGCCCTCAGGGGTCCCCAGAGCCCCATGGATACAGAGTGCTGGTTATCTCCACGGGATAGGAAGGGCTTTCCAGGACCCCACGGGGCAATGGGGGGCACCCACAAGGGCCAGTGTGGACAGCTGCCAAGACTGTGCTTTCTGAGCTTAGCATCGAGAAGTACAGAAAAAGCTCAAGGCCCCTTGAGGCTCATAGCCATGGTGTCTGTTGTTGTTGTCATTATTTATATTATCATTGTTAGTATCCAGGGCCCAAGGAAGCAGGATCACACGTTTCCCAGGCTCTTGGTGTCAGCAGGGATGGGGCTTGGCAGGGGAGAGGGAAGAGACAAACGTCTTCGTGTTGCACCAGATTTCTGCTTGTGCTCCCTCAGGTCCAGTTGCTAAAGCCCGAGGAACCAACTTGAGACTTCTCAAGACCACCAGGTCTTGCTGTGTCTCACAAATGTTCTAGTAAGACAATTCCACGCCCAGCTAAAAAGAATTCTCTGGTCAGATCTGTTTGGGAAACACTGGGTTGAAAGAAACAGTGCTAATTTTTGCAATCACAGGTTTGGTCAGTGCCATCAGCATGGTCATTCACCCTTGCAGATAGCTTTTCTTTGTGCCAAGTGCACTGTGCCATGTGGCAGAGCTGCAGTTGAGAGCTGTTATTAGCCTTTGGCCAGGTGTGGTGAGCAAACCTGTAATCCCAGCACTCTGAGGGGCTGCAGCAGGAAGATGGCACGTTCAAGCCCAGCTTGGGTAATTTACTAATTTAGCAAGACCCAGTCTCAAAGTAAGAACTACAAAGGATTGTTGCTCAGTGTGAGGATTTTGGGTTCAACCCCTGGTGCTGAAAAATAAACAAAAACTCTGGAGCTCTTCCCCCAGAAAGATTCTGATTCAGCTGACCTGCGGGGAGTGGGGCTGGACACCTATTTTTCATAAGCTCCCCAGGTGATCAGCCGGACTTGAGAACTACCAGTCTCAATGGGGAATTCGATGGCTATGATCAGTCCACTGTAGAGAGAGCCAGAAGTGGGACAGCCTTCATCTGGGTGATGAGGGAGGCTCCCCAAAGGCAGGGAGGTTTCAGCTGAAGTCTGGTCGAGGCAGGTGGGTGGCCCAGATGGGATGGGGGTGGTGGGGACCTGCCAGTGAAGGTGACAGCCTGCAGCACAAGAAAGAGGCATGGGATGAGATTGGAGTCTAGGGCCAGGTATTCCAGGGTGTCTGCCAACTTCATGTCTCTAAGCCTCAGTGTCTTTATCTGTATAATGGGAATGCTGTTAGGAACATATCTTTAGGATTAATAAGAGAGGGTAAATCTGGGAGTCTTAGAAGGGCTTTTAGTGTGATAGTGAAGTAATTCAAGATATATGGAATGAGGGGAGAGTAAATGACACAGGTCAAGTGTGAAAACAGCAGAAAACCTTCCACATAGCATCTCTTCTGTTACTGTTGTGTTGTTGTGTGATATCTAAGGTGCATCTATGGAGCACCTACTATATACCCAGAGTTGTGGGGCCAGCGGGTGAATGAAGCTCAGCTCTTGCCTTAGCAGCTCATGATGTATTTGGAGCCCCGTGGCATCTGTGGGGAGGCCTGATTAGCTACTTCGAGGGGAAGGATTGGGAGACTTTGTCCTTTGCACTTCCCAGACACACTTGGGAGCAGTTAAGCTCCCCTCGGATCTATGGTATAAACTGAGTTTCCACATGGTGAGAAGAGAGGACAGTGGGAGGGAGGACAGGCAGGGAGACTGCAGTCTGCAAAGTGGGGGGATGATGGCAGTCTCTCTGTGGGGTCTTTGTGAGGCTGAAACGGGACAGCACTGCATAAACCCAGCACCTGGGAAACCAAAACCAGTGGATCACAGGTTCAAACCCAACCCAGGCAATTTAGCAACTTAGAAATTTAAAAAGTACTGCGGGGGATAGAGCTCAGTGCAAAGGCCCTGGGTTCCATCCCCAGTAGCACCAAAAACAATTTTATGTATATATTCAGGGGCAAGCAGATCCAAACTGTAGCACCTTGTCACACAGAAACCGCAGCCAGGCGCTCAGCCCTGAGGCCAGCGTGGATGAAGGCGGCATGTTCGAGAGCCTGAAGGCCGAGCCAGCCTCCCCGCCCGCACTCTTCTCCGGCCTGGCCAGCAGCCTGCCCGCAAGCCCCTTCCCGGCCAGCCTGGTGCTGGGCTCCTCTGCAGGCGGCGGGGACGTGTTCATCCAGATGCCCACGTCCAGGGAGGAAGGAGGCGGCCGCACCAGCGAGGGTGGCACCTACCACCACCGGCAGCCCCACCACCACTTCCACCACAGTGCCCACCGCGGGGGCTCCCTGCTGCAGCACGTGGGTGGGGACCACCGCGGACACCCGGAGGAAGGGGGTGACGAGCAGCCAGGGACGCCCGCGCCTGCCCTGTCCGAGCTGAAAGCTGTCATCTGCTGGCTGCAGAGAGGGCTGCCCTTCATCCTGATCCTTCTGGCCAAAGTGTGCTTTCAGCACAAGCTTGGTGAGTCCCCGGGCGTACGGATGTCGCCACCTCGGGCTCCACGCGTGGGTCCCCTGGAGCTCCTGAGGCAGGGCCTCTGCATCCAGCATCACAGGAGAAGGCAGCAGAGGTTCAAGGTGTGGGATGCTGGGTCAGACCTGCACTCAGATTCCGGCCGACTGGCTGTGTGACTTCAGGCAATTCAGTTGGCTTCTCTGAGCCTGTTTCCTTATCTGTCCAGTAGGGGTTGGGACTGAAACCTAATCAGCTACTCAGGTGGTGGGAAGGAGTAGAGTGTGGTAACCAACCGCTCAGACCACCAGGGATGCACCCTGTTCCCCGCCTTCCTAGCTGTGTGATGCTGGGAACAGTACTTAACCTCTCTGTGTCTCATTCTATCATCTGTCAAGGGAGGGCTAAGAGGGGACGTGCAGGCAGCCCTCTATCTTTAGAGCTTTAATAGGATACGTCAGCTTATGTGCAGAAGTTCTACGCAAATTCACCATTTCATATAAGAGACCCCCATATAAGTGTCTGCAGTGTTGGCACCCTTGGGGGTCTCAGGCACAGTCCCCCAAAGTGCCAAGGGGCTCCTGTCCTTCCCGGGATGGCAGTGAGGTTAAAGTTGAGTTAATATGTGTGAAGCTCTTCAAGAGATCCTGCCACAGAGCAAGCGCCGTGCCTGTGGAGACTGTCATTGTGTGGTGTTCATTATTAGCACACATTAAAGTCCATACTACAGAGTCTGGCACTTAGCGAGTGCTCGGTGACTACCAGCACAGTAGTGGTTGGTATTAGGAAGCAGGGTTGTAATTCAGAAAGTGCTTAACCGAGAACCTGACACGTACTCAACGTTCAGTAAATAGGCTCTAGTATAGGGTGATTATTATTGTTCCTTTATTATTAGATCATGATGTTGCTGAGGTGTTTGTCAACTATTATTTTAGTCTTAGGAATGATGGTAAGAATTATCTTGAGGAACTTAGGTTTTTTTTGTTTTGTTTTGTTTTTTGGTATCGAGAATTGAATTTTTTTTTTTCTTTTTGTACCAGGGATCAAACTCACGGCCTCCTGCTTGCCAGGCAGGCGCTTATGCCACTGAGCTAAATCCCCAGCCCTGCATTTTTGTTCTGAGACAGGATCTCACTAAGTCCCCAAATTGCCCCTAGTAGACTCAAATTTGTAACCCTCCTGCCTCAGCTTTCTTTCCTCGGTGCTGGAATTACACGTGTGTGGCGTCACTCAGCTCCATCGGCAGGTTCTGACCTTCCTCCCTGGTGAATCCCAGTCAGTAACTTGGGGCCCTCCAGCCTCTCACCTTTCAGCGCCCCCTTTCTGTCCCTAGAAGTGGAAGCTGGCTTGTCCCCTCATGCAACCTGCAACCTGAATCCTGGCAGACTCAAGGCCAGGTTTTATTCTTACGTATGGCCAAGTCATTTCAGTGTGTGTGTGTGTGTGTGTGTGTGTGTGTGTGTGTGTGTGTGAGTGTGTGCTGGGTAATCAAAGAAGAGGACAAGCGAATTGCAGAGTTGCTAGTTCTTACTTCATGTTTCCAGGGAAGGAATGCACTTTTGCAAAGTAGATCTGGAACGCGCATACTGTTCTAGTAAGTAGGCGGGCGCCAAGTACACCCTGTGAAGGCTGAATTCAACCCGCGAGCAGTGAGACGTAGGATTTGAAAATCATTAGGCAGGGAGAAGCCCACGATTGTGGCTCGGCAAACAGTGGCAGTTAAAGAGTTGTGGAATCAAATTCATTTCTGTTCCCCCATCTGCCTCTGTCGTCTGTGTTTTAGCCAGGATTCTTTCCCCTTAGCATTAATCTTTAATGCCTTATGATGTCACGGTCTCTTTGTATGTATGCTTCTGTCGCAAAGAAGACACCTCAGCTTGTTTTTGAAGGTACAAAGACGGATAGCACCATTTATTAACTGCTAGCGATTGTATCCTGTAAGTGCCAACCCTCTGAGGTAGGAACTGTTATTATTCTGTCTATTTGACAAATGAGAGGACTGGGGCTCAGAGAGGGGTGGTAAACTTGCCCAATATCACACAGCAGAGGTGGCAGAGCTTGGGGATTTGAACCCTGATCTTGCCAGACTGCATAGCCCATTTTTTATAGCTTCTAACCCAGTGCTATAAAAAAAATATTCTATGGTGGTCTAAGTCCTATCCCAGGTCAACCTGGTTCCCAGTAGTGCCAGCACAGCAGCCCAGATCCAGAATGAGGTTTTGTCCCATCCTCTGACCAGCCACTGACTCTAGGAGATCGGGGATGTGGCTTTGCCAGCACGGCCCCTCCCTCCTCTGTCCCCCAGGCATCGCCGTGTGCATTGGGATGGCCAGCACCTTTGCCTACGCCAACTCCACGCTCCGAGAGCAGGTCTCGCTGAAGGTGAGTCACCCATCTCCTGGGGCTGCTGCCACAGTCTGGTGCTGTGGCTTCAGCCCCTGTGGTGTGCCTGCTCATGGCTGTGCAGATCCGAAGCCTGCAGCGGTCTGTCCAGGCTGAGACCCAGGCGCCCACGAAGCTGTGTGAGGGGGAATCTCCTGCTTAATCCTCTTAGAAACTGCTCCCTGGGGCCCCCTCTTCTGCCTCCCACCTCCACTTCAGAGGTCTTTTGTGATTGTCGTGGCCACCCGAGTGATCCGGGAGACTGTCCCTGACTCTGCCCAGCTGGCCAGCAACCTGCACCAGGTCCCCTCTGCCCTGTCATCCAACATATGCACCAGTTCAGGGATTGGGAGGTGGGCTCTTTGGGAGGTCTGTCTCCTTCCTGCTGCCCCTGGGAAGGTCCCCAGAAGTGTCATCCTGCTCCCCTGCCCTGCGCATAGGCTGTCCCCTCCCCACAGCAGCAGCAGCAGCACCCCACTCATCCCCACCCCCACCCCCAGGTACGTTCCCTCCCGCTCTCAGTCCATTAGTTTGCTTCCAAAGCACCCTCGTGTCTAAGGCTACTTCCCAGATGCTGCTCGCTGGGTGGATGTGGGACCCCACCTCTGTCCTGAGTGCACTCGGATGCTGGCTTAGCTCTGTATGCCTGGCATGGTGCTGAGGCCCCTGCCCATCTCTTGCAGATTGGTCCCAGCATAGACAGAAAAGTCTTCACGAGCTGGGGATATAGCTTGGTTGCACAGCGCCTACCTGGCAAGCACAGTCATGAGTTTGATTCCTGGTACCAAAAAAAAAAACCCTTCTCACTTCAGGTTTCCAGTGAGAAATCTGGCTACCTGACTCAGAGACACCAAGTTCTGTGCTTCTTCACACAGCCAGGGCTCATGGGTATCAGGATTGAAACCCAGACAACTACGCACAGAATCTATTCCTCCACCCACTCACAGGCCTTCAGACAGGTTGTACCAGCCTCGTGTCACACCTCTAGGAAAAGGGTGACAGTCCCTGGCCTGACAGTTTGACTTAGGGTTTTCTGAGTTTGTGACGGTGAGAAAGCTCTGCGCATTCTTTGGAAACCGGCTTTGCGTTCTGAATTTGGCTTTTACTCTGGGCTGCTCCTCTTACGATGCTGGCAGTGACAGTAAGCTGTGGCTGCCAATCAGCCACACAGTTGCGAGGGGAAACTACTGAGGTTCTGTAGGGAAGTTAGGTGCAGAAGGTGCATTTTCAACTTAATGGTATTTTTGACTTACGATGGGCTGGGGAGGGCGGGGCTGCCCTATCCCAAGTCGAGGTACCAACCCCTCGGCTCATGGCGAGGGTTACCTGCAACACTGAGTAGAAGGTGCCGAGCACAGGGCCCGGCACGTGGGAAACGTTTCATTGAGCTGCTTTGTAAAATCTGTGCCCCATCGAAGACCCTTCAATGCCAGCATCTTTTCCCTAAGCACAGAGGGCAGCCCGGTCTCCACCTGCACACAGCCAGCAAGTTTGGAGATCTCAGCTAGCCCCCACTTCCCGTGTTTCTCCTTCTCAGGGCCTTGCTAATCCATTCCAGCATTCCACCTTTGGTTTGGATTTCCTGAGAATCCAATGAAGATCTGTTATTTTGGGGGAGAGGAAGGGCTGCCTGCCCAGAGGCTTAATCACATGGGTAAGAGCCACTGGGTTGGAGGTGGATTTTGCAGTCGTCAGCCGTGCCCACCGCTGGAATGATGAGTGGCTGAGATGCACTCCGTCATCTGCTCTTGGAAACATGCCCTGCATGGGGCGCTAGGCGGTGTCTAGAGACAGCGCGTATTGAGCATTTACCGAAACTGCAGGGAAGGTTACACTGGGCAAGTTATGACCTCATTCTGTTCCGGCAAGGCACTCTCCCTGGTCCAGGAAAACGTAAGCTGTTGAGAATCAACGGCAGATGGGCCTCCGTGTGTCTCCCAGTGTCCAGGGCAGGAAGACATTCCTGTTTTTGCCTTCTCTGTACATTTCTTGGGGTCACTGGCAGTCTCAGAAGCCTCTGGGAAGCCGCACAGTGAGGCTTTCAGTTTTTCTTCTTGAATCCCAGAGATCCAGCAGGTCAAGGCTGGAGGAAGAGAAACAGGGCTGGACTGTGAGACGCTTGGACAGCAGTGCGTCCCTGTTTAACTTTAATCCTGTTGGTGTCGCCAAACTTTGGCCTTGAAGTCCAAGGCGGTGGGTCCATCTAGAACCAGGCTGTCACATTTTCTTAAAGGTGCTGCCCATTAGAGAGCTAAACCAGAGTCCAAGCCAGGATGAAGGTTTACAGGTGTAAGTTTGACTTAACCCTCAACAGCATCCCCATCTTAAGTGAGGGTATTGGAGCTTAAAACCTGTACCTTTGAGCAAAAGTTACTTAGTCTCTCTGTACCCCATTCATAACAGTAAGTGCAAATTTAACACTTACTATATGTCAGGTGGTCTTCTGAGCAGTCAGGCTGCACTTGTGCTGTTGCGAATGTCCTTATGCCCAGAATTCATTCAAAACGTTACCTTTCATGGTCGTGTTGTGTTTGGGGAGGAGCCAGAAGTCATCCAGTGCCACATCCAGTGACCACGTCGATGGGAATGCACTATAATGTTTTTACAAGCTGCCTTTTCATTGGCTGGCACTGGGCAGCAGTATACATTGTTTTTTTTTTTAATCACACCTCGTAAAGATACTTATGAAAGAAGGTGTCCAGAACTGCTTCACAAAGTAGTAAGAATGAAGGGATGTGTTTGAAGTGAGAGGGAGTACACTGAGAGATACTGATGGCAGTGTGGCTTTTACTGCAATCAACTTTTAAATTTAAGCACACCATATTTTTGATCAGCCCTTTTCATGATTCTATGAGGTGGGTACTAATATAGACCCATTTTACAGATAAGAAAGGAAATGCAAAGAACTCAGGTAGCTATTTGGAAGTTGGGTACCTCCCGAGTAACCAAATAAGGACTTGAACCCAGGACACCTAGCTCCAGAGTCTGCCATGAACCAGGTGCCTTCTGCCCTTTCTGGATGGTTCTCCAAGGAGGCGTCTACTATTCTGTCATCTTCTTTGTGGCCACTACTGGGGTCCCAGTGGAATGCAAAGTGTCCTTTTCTTTACTATTAACTGTTCTTTCTCCAGAACTTTGAAACACTGAAGTTTTCACTTAAGGAACATTCTGGAATGTTCCACCACATGTACCTTTGGTATCACAGCATCCTCAGAGCTCTCTCGATTCATCTGCAGGAGAAGAGGTCGGTGCTGGTCATCTTGTGGATCTTGGCCTTTCTGGTGGGGAACACCCTGTATGTGCTGTACACGTTCAGCTCCCAGCAGCTGTACAACAGGTGAGCAGGGGTGTCCACCTCTTCCGGTGGAAGGGTGGGGGGTGTGGGCTGTGTTGGGTTTGGGGCACACAGCCCTGTGCTGGGAGGCAGCCCACCAACTCTGTGTCATGTTATAACTTTTAGATTCCACTCCATTCTTGTATACTCGTGCCTAGGACAGCATTCTCTGGCAGAGATATAATGCAAGCCGCATATGTAATTTTACATTTTTAATTGCTGCATTAAAAAAATAAAAAACAGGTGGAATTAATTCTAATAATAGATGTTATTTATCTCTGTATAGTCGGTCCTCCATATCTGTGGATCTGGTATCCATGGATTCCGCCAACCTTAAGTGGAAAATATTCAGAAGAAAAATAGCATCTCTGCTGAAGATGTATAAATTTTCCTTCAGTCTTTACCCCCAAGACAATACAGTGTAGCAACTGTTCACATAGCATTTATGTTGCATTAGGTATTATGAATAATTAGGACACAATTTTTAAAGTATTCAAGATGATGTGCCTAGGTTACATGCAAATGCTGTCATTTTATGTGAGACTTGAGCATCCTTGGATCCGTTTGGTATCCGTGGGAGATTCTGGGACCAGCCTCACTAGGATACAGAGGATGACCATGTAATGTGTCATTTTAGCATGTGATGGATATAAAAATTATCAGAGGGATAGTTTGCATCCACTTTTCCACATTAAGTCTGTATAATCTGGGGCTTTACGCCTGCACTTCAGGCTTGTTACCATCAGCTGCAGTCCACGTGCTCAGAACAGTCCCATTCCAAGACGGAACCAGCTGCACCCATCTGTGGGTGCTTTTATACAAATGGAGTTGATTTATTAGGATGGAGACCATACAGCCCACAAAGCTGAAAACATTTGAGATCTAAGATGTTTGTTTCTTTCTTTGTTTGTTTTCTATTCTGGGGACCCAACTGAGAGGGACTTTCCCACTGAGCTACATTCTCGGCCTTTTTTAATTTTTGAAACAGGGTCCTCACTAAGTTGCCCCACTGACTTAAATGTGCAGTCCTCCTGCCTCAGCCTCCAGAATGATCACAGGCATGGACCACCAGGCCCAGCTAATATCTGTTCTTTTACAGGAAAAGTTTGTGGACTCCCGACCCTAAAACATTAACAGTGGTCCTTGAGATCTTAAATGTATGGGATAATTTCACTGTTTTCTTTACAGTTATTTGTGTTTTGTGAATTGTTTATAATGGGCACATTTCCTCAACATAGAAGTGCTTTTTCTTCTAATATTAAGGGGTAAAAGTGTTTGCCCTGTTTAATTTGAGCTGGGAAGAAACAACAGCTCCCTTCTTCCCCAAACGTATGGCCTTCTGTTCTTGTGATCTATTGACTCAGTTTTTTTTTTTTCCTCCAAATTCTTGATCTTAAAACCTATTGACTCAGTTTTAAGTAACATGGTGACAGATGGAGAAGCAGAGGCTAAGAAACTGAATGGCATACTGAGCCCTGTATTATCGTCTATTTCTTTAAAATAGCCCCATTACCTTGGCAGCCAAGTACCTAGAAATTCTCCCAAAGCAACAAGCCATGTTCCCAGATCTGCCAGCATACCCTGAGCAGGCACTCACAGCCTCACTCACTGACCGTCACTCACAGCCAGGACCAGTGGTGCACACCTGTAAATCCAACACTCTGGGAGGCTGAGGCAGGAGGATCACAAGTTCAAGTCCTGTCTAGACAGCCCAGCAACTTAGCAAGACTACGTCTCAAAACTTAAAAACCAACTTTTAAAAATTAACAGGGCTGAAAATGAGCTCCATTTTTAGGCCTGTGTTCAATCCCCAGTGCTGGGAAAAACAGAACATCACTCCTAGGGACATGCTGAACAGCCAGACTTTTCCCAAGTTCTTTCTGAGCTGCTGTGGAGTTTCCTGTTTATCTCTTGGGGATTTGGTTTCTCAGTCCCAGTGCAAGGCATAATCCAAGTTGTTGTCCTATCAATATTTGTCAGATGAATAAGTCTCTCCAAATTTTAAAAGTAAGTTTTCTATGTTCGAAAGTAAGCTATTTTTAATGGTGAAAAGTCAGAAAATGCATTTTCAAAGAAGACCCAAATCACCTCCAGTCCTTTCCCCGTCAGCAGCCATGCGAACAATTTTTTCTGCAGTTGTGTGTGTATACGTTATGGATGATAAGGTACAGTACAGACTACCTTATAACACTTTATCTTCATTTATTGCCATATTACTTTAAATTGATAAGTTGCAATTAGCAAAGTGCGTGTTGCTTTACCCTTCCATGCCTCAGCTTCCTATCCCAGTACCCAGGGCTGTTCAGACTGAAGATCGCTTTTCCAAAAAGTATGAGACCCAATGTGTTTCAGATTTTGCAATTTGTCAATTTTTAAAATACTTGGGGCTGGCAATATGACTTAGTGGCATAGTACCTGCCTGGCAAGCACAGGGTCCTGAGTTTGATTACTGGTTACAAAAAAAAGAATTATATAAACTTTCCTAGTTAAGCCACTCTAATCTGAAAACCCAAAATCTGAAGTCCAAAATGCTCCAAAATCACATTACTCAAAATGTTTCAGATTTTGGAGTGCTTTTGGGTTTCTGGTTTGGAGATGAGCGTCGTTAGCCCAGGCTCAGCCTATGCTGAGGAAAACACACTGACCAGAGCCCTTTGGGACTTTGTTACACTAGGCACTGCTTCATGGAGGAGCTCACCGGAGGCTAAGAAAAGCTGAACAACCAGGCCTGAGACAGGGCAGGGACCAGGGAAGTTTCTAGCTGTAAAATGTCCCCAAAACAAGGTTCAGGGGTCTGCTGTGTAGGCACCAGCTTGCTTTTTGCATCAAACATTTTCTTAAATGATCGTCACATAAGGCCAGGAGGTGGAAGCAACTCAAGCATCCATTGATGGGTGAATGAACAGAATGTGCCATGACCATGCAATGAAACATCCCTCAGTCTTAAAAAGGAAGGAAATTCAGGCACAAGGTACAGCGTGGATGAGCATTGAGGACATTTTATGAGTTGAAATAAGTGAGTCACAAAAGGTCAGGTACTGCATGACTCTACTTACAGGAGTAACTTAGAACAGGTAAATTTCCAGGGAGCAGAGTGGTGGTTGCCAAGAACTAGGGGAAGGGGACTGGGAACTGTGTTTATCGGATGTGGAATTTCCATTTTGCAAGATGATGAGAGTTCTGAAGTTGGATGGTGGTAGCAGTTGTACAACAGTGTAAATTACTTAATGCTACTGACCTGTGCGTACAATAATGGTTATGAGAGTAAATGTAATGTTCTGTGTGTTTTACCACAATTAGAACATATGTGTGTGTGAGCATCATTTCATAAAAGAGTGGGTATCTTAACATCCAAGAATTCATTAAGGATAAAGAACAATTCCATAAATGGAATAAACTTTGCTTCATTTCAGAAAAAGTGCCTTAGATCACTGAAAAGAGAATGTTACCAGACTGGTATTACCGTGCGTAAAGACCTCTGGGGCTTAGGAAGCAGATATTCCTGCGGGTGCTGGCGGGGAATTGGGTGGGCAAGGGCTCTGGGCAGGGGCTCTAGACTGGGCTGAAACTCAAGCTGTTTTAAAAACAGATTTGAGGAGTCAGTAATTTTGATGCTTTCTGAGGCCGACCCAGAAAGCAGCCTCAGGAGCTGGCGCCCAGGTATCAGCACCCATCTCCCACCCTGCATCAGCACATGGCCCACAGGCAGGGTCCAGGTGCAGGGTGCAGGTGGTGGGGCTTCCCAGAAGCTTGGGTTCATTTCCTGTTCATGCCTTTTTGAGGCATGATCATTTTCCGGGGGTCAGACCTCTGTGCTCCCATCACGCCAGAGCTGTATCAAACCATTAGGCAAGAGAAAAGCAATAGATTGCAGTCCACGTTCTGTGGCACCAGCCTACAGTATGTTTGCAAGTGACACCAACAGCCATCATCTTATTTTGCTCTCCTAACAACTCAGCAGGATGGCACTATGCCCATGTCACAGAGGAGGAAATTGAGCCTTATGAAGCCCTTCTGGGTCAACTGGTTACCCGAGGCTGGGTGGTTAGCGAGGAGCTTTGTTTAGCTCACAGGGCTGGAGGTTTAAGGGGATGGCACTGGCACTGGCTTGGCACTGGCGAGAACCTTAGGGTAGACTACATAGTGATGGGCTGCTGCGCATGTGCAGGAGGGAGTGCTTGCGGAGAAAGGAAGTTCCCACCCACCAGGGAGGCCCCGCCCATGGGACCACCCACCAGGCCCCGCCTCTTAAAGGTCCCTCCACACCATCTCTTACACCAACACACAGAATTAAGCTTCCTACTCTCCAACCCTTGGAAATTACATCCAAACCGCAGCACCTTCCTCAGGTACCAGCGGCCAAAGGCAGCCTGAGTGATTCAAGGCAACCATGAGTGAGCTTGAATCCTTCCGGGATTTGAAGTCTGATGACCCCCTTCAGCAAGCCATAATGACGCCACGGCTATTCACCAGCTCCCTGCCCTTTGGCAAATAGTGTTTCCCGAGCCTTCTTGCCTTTGCACATTTGTGAAGCCTGGCCCAAGTTCCTTGTCGCCTGCTCCACCTGAGTGGGCCACGGAGGAAAACCAGATGTCAGGTCCCACAGAAAATAGCTGAATCATACCGTATCATACCGTGTCATCACTGATGTTACTATTTTAGGTGATAGCATTTCTTGGTGATGGTGCCCAAGAAGAAGCAAAACTAACAGTAAAACGTGTCAGTCCACTGAAACCACAGAATACTTTAGAAATAAGTGGACTTAATGTCCTGCTTTGACACCAGCACACCCTCCCTCCCTGCCACCACCACTGAGAGCAAAACCAAACTGGCCATGGTAGCACATACCTGTAATTCAACCCTCTGGAAAGCTGAGGCAGGAGGATTGCAAGTTCAAGCCCAGCCTGGACAACTTGGCAACTTAGTGAGAGTCTGTCTTAAAATGATGGGTTCAGTCCCTAGCACTGGATGGAGGTGGAGATAATGGGGGGAAACCCAGATAGGTGAATTGAGTACCACCTGGTATCTGGAGATAAAAATGGGAACATGTAAAGCAGATCTTCATTGTATTGAAATGATAGAAGCACAAAAGATTTGGCAGAGTGAGGAAGTCAGCCAGCCACGTGGCACATCCCGGGAGGGGCGGGGGCAGAGCCTCAGGGAGGGAGAGCAGGGCCACAGACCTCTCTCCCTGCCTTTGAGCTTGATTGGCCACGCAGACCTGGAGAGAGGAGTCCCACAGAGGCAGCTGAGCTGCGGGAAGGACACAGGAGGTGTGGAGAGCAGCTGCGGGAATGGATTTTTCTCACTGATTTCGACCTATTCCAGCTGTTCAAAAAGACAAACACTGTGCAGAGAAACCAGATATAGTGGCACCTCCTGTAATCCCAACATTCCAGGAGACGAGCAGGAGGAGGAGGCAGGAGCCCAGCCTGGGCAATTTAGCAGGACTGCATCTCGAAATAAAAACTAAAAAACACGGCGAGGGGTATAACTCAGTACAAAGACCCTAGGTTCAATTCTCCATACCAGGTGGGAAAAAACAAATTATATGTATCTCAGACCAATGCATTCCAAAGATGCTTGAATAAAGAGGCCGTGCTCCGCACCCTTTTCCTTATAGCTGAAGCATTTCAAAAGCATCTTCTCTGTGCAGTGTGCACTGTTCCCTCCTTTGGAAGAGACACATAGACTCTACCTAGCCTTTGTTCATGGGTGCTGGCTCCAATCCTAGCCCCATGTTCTCGCTGAGACACCACACGCAGATGACTCTCCCTCTTAATGTCCCAATTCTCAGCTCAAAAAGAGTTAACCCCATCCCCACTTTGTAGAGTCCTCGGGAAGAGGAAATGCATTAAGACATGCAAAGTAGGGGCTGGGGATTTAGCTCAGCGGCATAAGCACCTGCCTTGCAAGCAGGCAGTCATAAGTTCAGTCCCCAGTACCGATAAAAAAAAAAAAAAAAAAAAAAAAAAAGACATGCAGAGTATATGCAGCCAGGACACCTAGGTCTGAGACATTTCTGTCCCTTAATATTTAAGGGACCTGTGCATGTTGCTTTACGTTTCCATGCCTCAGTTTCCTCATCTGCAAAATGGGTGCTTGCCTCATAGAGTTGCTGTTGTCATCATCACCGCTGCATGGCAGGGTCTATAACATGTTTAGGGGCTCTCCCTGCCAGTAACACTGTAAGGGAAGAAATGAGTCCCATTTTATTGAAGAGAACACTGAGACTTACAGAAAAAACTTTACCCAAGATCCAACGGATGCAGAAGCTGGGATTCAAATTCAAGGCCATCTGATAAAAGTTAAGTCTGCTGATACTGATGCCCTTGTGCTGGTTATGTCACCTCTCCAAGCCTCAGCGCTCTTGTATGGAGAGAAGCCGTGCTCCCTGCAAAGGAACATGGTGAGGACGTAACGGGATCTGCAGAGTCCAGAGCGTGGCCGGTGCCGGAGCTATCGGTTCCCTCCCTTCTCTGTGTGTTGGTTGCCTTCCCTCTGCTCTCCTTCCTTCTCCTCACCTTCTTCTGTGAAGAGTGTTGGGGACCTGTCAAGTGGGGAGTTAGGCCTTCATACTGCTCCAGGGCAGTCTTTTATTCCCAAAGCACTAAAGCTCAGAGAAGTTAGGAGACCTGCTTGAGGTTATGCAGCAGGTCAGTAATAGATTAAGGACAGGACACAGAGGTCTAACTCCAAGGTCCGTGCTCTTGCTAGGTGACACTCACAAGGCTCCCCCATGAGTAGAAAGCTCACCTGAGGCCTGGCCCTTAGTGACATCAGGCTCTCTGAATGGTTTCTCTAGCCTCATCTTTCTGAAGCCCAACCTGGAGACCCTGGACCTCTTTGATCTTCTGTGGATCGTGGGCATTGCAGACTTCGTACTGAAGTATATCACCATCGCCCTCAAGTGCCTCATCGTGGCCCTGCCCAAGATGATCTTGGCCGTCAAGTCAAAGGTAGGCACTGGCAGCAGCCTCCCAGTACCTTAATACGTTTTGATTTTCTGTGGCTTCCTGTAGTCATAAAGGAGCCTGAGGCTCAGAAGGAAAGGGCTCTGAGATCGATTGGTGATGTCTGCCAGGGGCACAGGATGGGGAAGCGGTGGCAGCAATGCTGTGCACATCCCCTGGGGAAGAGCTGCAGGCAGGCACTGGAATGAAGAGGAATTCAGGACTAAGTGGACAGAAAATCCCAGCCGTAGAATATAATGATTGCCAGTGCCTCTGTAAGATGACCCAAAGGGAACCTGGCCCATGGCAGATGCACCAATGGGTCTCTGAAAACTCTTGCTGTCCATTTTGTACAAACAGCTGTCCTCTGGGTTCAGAAAGCTCAGAATGTAGCCCAGGCTTCGCCTGGCAGAGAGCGGGTTAGAATTAACCATCCGTCTTGAGTGGCAGCTCATCAGCCCAGCTGCCAGGATAGTCTTTGAGCCAGCTTCTCCCCTCTGCAATGTGCACAGCTCTGGGAGAGCCAGAATCTTAAGGTTTTCTTAGATGAAGCTGTACCTCAGGTGCCCAAAGACAGTGCAGGAAGTTTCCAAATGGTTCAGAGAGAGAGAAAGGAAATCAGGAGAGGGACCAGTGGCCCCAGGGCAGTTCTGAGATAGCTCTTGTACCTTTCCAGACTGTAGTGACATCACTTTCTGAGCTCAGGCCATTACCAGTGGGTACCATGTGTTTGGCCCCAAGAAGCACGACCCAGTGGTTGTGTCAAGGACTTTGGCATCACATGCAGTATCGATCAGGCGCGAGCTATCCTCGTCTCCAGCTTTGTGACTTTGGGCAGATGGCAAGACCTCTCTGAGCCCTCATTTGTTCATCTATCAACTGATGCTAGTAACTGCGCCTTCTGCCAAAGCCCTGACCTCATAGCGGATGATGTAAAGCGCTTTGCCTCAAGCCCAGTGCATAGTAAAGTGTTCACTGAAGGCTTCACAAGTTGAGTGTTCCTGATCTGAAATGCTTGGACCGGAAGTTTTTCAGATTTTGGAACATTTGTGTATCACCATGCAGTATCACGAGGTGGTACCCACGTCTGACACCTGTTTACATGTCCTGTACACATAGCTGAGAAGTAACTGTGTACAGTGTTCTCAGTACACTTGTGTTTGGCTGTATCACATGAGGTTGAGTATGGAATTTTTTCTTTTCTGTCACATGTTGGAGTTCACCAAATTTCAGCTTTTGGATATTTGGATTTTTTTCAGAGTAGGGATGCTCGGCCCTGCCCTTATGTTATTGAATTACCATGACTTCTGGCTTTGGAATAGCTGTGCAAGCTCATATGAGTTCCCTGGCCTCTCTGTGTCTCAGTGGCCACCTCTGTAAGATGGGAGCAGGAACTTTACCCCTGGATGTCTTCCACTTGTCTGTCCAGGTACACAGACCATCCTTCTTGCCTGCTGTCTTGACCTGTGTGTGGATTTTGTCAGTGACCTTCAATGCCTAGTGGCTTCCATGTGGGTTCAGTCAGCAGTGGTGGTGAGCCCAGGAGGAGAGAGAGTTAGAGATATTATTATTCTCCTGGCACATTTGTTTCCTGTGGCTGTGTGACAGAGGCCATAGACTTAATGGTTTAAAGCAATGCAAGTTGATTTTCTTACAGTTCTGGAGGTCAGAAGTCCAACACCCATCTCAGAGGGCAAATCCAAGGCTTGGGCAGGGCTGAGCGCCCTCCTGTGTCTCCAGAGTCAATGAAGTGGTTTGCGTCCTGGGCTCCTCCCCTCTGACGTCTCTTCCTCTGCACACTTCCCTCTCTGACTCTGGCCCTCCTGCCTTCCATTTATAAGTACCTGTGGTGCCACTGGACCCACCTGGATGGGCCAGATCATACCCTATGCCTGGGTGCTTGGTGCAGTCAGAATAACAGAGTCCCCTTTGCCATGAAAGCTGATGTTTTCACAGGTTCCAGGGACTAGGACTGGGTTCCTGGTGCTGGTGTTGTGGTGGTAGGTGATTACTCTGCCCACCATACCTGGCTTCTTTACCCTGGACAGCCACAGTGCCATTCTAAGCGCCATACACGCATTACCCCATTGAATCGGTACACTGTTCCCATGAATTGGGCGCTGTTACTCCTTCCGTCCCTTCCCGGGTGTGAGGCAGAGGGTTCCCATCACAGGCAGCTTCTCTGGGCAGCTTTCTGTCCAGTCTGGTATCCACACTCCCCCATTGCTCCAGACTACCTCTTGTTGGTTTCCCTAAACTCAACCCAAACATTTGTGAATAGCCAGGTATTAAACTCTTCTCAGTTACCCGGGATTTGTGCACCCTGCCATGAGACTTCCCTGGTGGGGCTGCTCTTAGGGTATAGAGTTTGTGGATGCCCAGAGCTGGCCCGGCCCATGCGCATGCCCAGTACTGTGCACTACCTCACGGTCACTTTGAGTCACTGTCACCACCACCATTCCTCCTCCTCTCGCTGCCACTGTTCTGTCCGTGAGGATCCCTGGGCCTCGGCAGCTTCTTCGGGAGCAGTCAAGGTAACGACACACGGTAGACTGATTTCTGAGAGTGAATTTGGGATCTACCAAGCTGGGGCCTCTCCTCACTGTGCTGGGTCTCTAACTGTGGCCCCTGCACACACTGCCTGCTCAGGTCAGCAACCCGGAAATGAATTTGGATTCTTCCTCTTTCTCTTCCTTCCTTGTGCCTTCCGATCAGCAGCCAAGTTCTGCTCACAGCGCCTCCTGAATGACTGGGAGTCCAGGCTCCTCCTGCCTCTCCGTGGCCACCATCTAGTCCTTGCCAGAACAAAGTAGACTTTCTGTGTCTGTCCTCCCTGACCTCCTCCCAGTCCTCGCTTTCTATTCTGCAGCTAGAGCAGAAGTCTTTTTAAAGACCACTCATCTGAGCAGGCATGGAGGCACGTGCCTGTAATCCCAGCACTCTGGAAGGCTGAGGCAGGATGATTGCAAGTTCAAGGGCAGTCTGGACAATTTAGCAACTTAGTGAGACTCTGTCTTAAATTAAAAAAAAAATTTAAAGAGAGATCTGGTGATGTAGCCCAGTGCAAAGGCCACAAAATAATAACAATAATCATAATAGTAGTAATAAATGAACAAGTATTTTTTAAATTAAAGACTAATCAGATTACCTTTTTCAGTGGCTTTGCCTCACTTCTTCCCAGCGTAACCCTCTATCTTGGAAGTGAGTGCATCCGGCTTGTATATTGACGAATCGCCAATATCTGTATGCATTTAGAAGCATTTGTTGTATCTGTGTCTGTGTGCGCATGTATGTGTTTTGAGTGGGTAGGTGGCTGCATGAATGGGTGTTACATCCCTCCATGGATAAATTAGATGGATGGGGGGGGTCAGTGGATGGATGGATTGATATCTGGATGAGTGTGTAGATGGCGGTGTAGCGGGAAGGGTGGACGGGGGAATGGGTGAGTAGATGGTGGATGGGTGGGTGCATGGGGTGGGTGGGTGGATGGACGGAGGGAAGGAAGTGTGAATGAGTGGATGGGTGGGTGCCATCTGTACGTACTGCCCCTCACCACCTCCTCTTGTGGCAACAGTGAGAGCTTTGATTCCATTCTCAGCTCAGCTCAAACCTCTTGTATGTATAGGAGTCCCAGTAAGTCAGGCTGATAAACAAACCTACAAGCCAAGTAGCACTCACTTCTCTGCACGAGAAAAGACCACTTAGAGACTCTCAAAGAATTATAGTGGCCAAATGAGTGGTAATTAACACAGCGAAACACTGCTAAGCAATCACCAGGAGTCAGGCAGCGTGTTAAGCAGTGTCATTTATTCAGGAAATGTTTGCAGAATGCCAGCTCTGGACAAGCTCTGATGCAGTCATCGGGGATGCGTCCACGAACAAAGGAGACAGAAGTCCCTGTCCTCGTGGCATTGATAGCCTGCTAAGACATCGTCTTGCTTAACCTCACCAGCTCTCCGAAGATAGATGCCTGGGTCTCTTTTCTCAGAGAGAAAGCTGACTTAAATAACTTGACTAAGACTGTAAAACCTTGTAACAATATGGTGGCCACAGGAGCCTTTAGTACACTGGCAGTGTTGTGCTGCCAACATCCCTGTCTAGTTCCCAGAACAGCTGGGTCACGCCAAGGAAACCTCGCACTCGCTTCCCATCCCTCCTCCACCAGCTCCCCAGCTGCCCAGCTGCCTTCTGTCTCTTCTGGACTTTGTGTGTATTGGCGCTGTGTCACATGTGACTTTTTGAGCCTGGCTCCTTTCACTTAACATAAAGTCTTCAAGGTCATAGGGCGGATCAACACTTTATGCTTTTTTCTGGCTGAATGATGTTCCATAGTATAGATGGCTCACCTAGCATTTGTCCATGGATGGACTTTAAGGCTGGTCCTTCTTTTTAGCTATTGTGAGTATTTCTTCCATGAACATTTCATGTACAACTATCCATTTGAATACAGTCATTGTGGGAAAATACCTATGTGTGGAATTTCAGGATCTGACCGTAACTCTGTACTTACCTCTGAAGAGCAACCAAACCCTTACCCACCCCGGCTGAACCACTGTACATTCTCATCAGGATAAAACCAAGCAGGGAGAGATTAAGGACGCAGCACCAGGTCACACCGCCTGCAAGTGGCTGAGTTGGGATTCGAACCTGGGCGGTCCAACTCCAAACCTCTGCTGCTTACTTACACAGCCCTTCTTCCCGTGACAGTGTCCTGCGTTTGTTTGGGAACTCCTCAGCGCCTATTTCAGAGGCAAACTCCCCATGCACCTTGTAAATAAAAGGCTACTTCCAGCAGTGTTTCTGGGAGCAGGAGGGCGGGGAGGAGCCCAACGCCCATTCCCTGCACCACTGAGGTGTGGGCGACAGTTATTAATGCCTCCCTGGCAGCTGTCCAGTTCCCCCTTTCTGATTATTATTACTTTATTCAGAGAGATTAATGTACCAGGTCAGAGCACAGTCCGGCCTGTAAAATGTGATGTGAATAAGTCCCCCCAAGATAAATTGCA